AATATCTGTGGTTTTGCAATTGCAGTTTCCTATTCTAAAAATGTTTCTCTCTGTCTTGTTGCTATGTGAATGACCCACAAAAACAGAGAAACTGACTGTGCAGGTGAAACAGTGTCAAAACAAAGTTAAGAGAGTAGATCACTGAGAAAAATAATTCTCTCTCCAGTCGTTTTTCCTGATGATAATCTTACATGCTGCTTTTCACAATAGCAGGTTAAAGAAGATAATCAAGATATTTTCTTTTCAGCGGATAGCCTCCTTGTTCAAACATGATTTATGCAAAACTCTTATGAAATACAAAAGTACATTAAAATAAATAAATGAAAAACAACAGTCTTTGCAAGTATCAATTGTAATTAAGTTTTTATACCCTAAATATCAGATAAGTACCAAGTGTTTCAAGTAAAACTCAGCCCTTTCTCTTTAGCTGGGAGGAATTTTCATCTGGTGCTCACAGTCCATAGCACAGAAACCCCTCTTTTCTACGTAGCAGACCACTGCCTCCTTTATGCTGATAATAGCTCCTTCTCTCTCTTTCTCCGGTTGGCTTCAATGTAGCCTTTGACATCCTGGTTATTCCATCCTCCTGTGTCCCTCCAGAGGTGCCTCTAATTCTGCTGCCACCTAACTGCTCCTGCTGTCTACTAAAGGCCTATTCCCTGCAGAGCTCCACATGGGTCAGTCCTCAACTCTTCCATCCTCTGCACGGTCATTTATAACAATTCTCCCACAGAGATTTTTCCCCAGACTTGACAATTATTACTAGGTCCTGGCTTTACAGTGTCAGGGCAAATGGAGCTCTGCTGATTTACACCTGCCCAAAGATCAGTTTTTCAGCGTGGCAAATTCTCTGAGTTGATAAATACAGTAGTTATTTAGCTGTGTGTACCCCAAAACTCTCCAAAGACAGATAACTAGGCCTAAGATAAGAATGGTATTAAATATAAAGAAACTATAAGAGTCACCAAACCAGTCTCATACCATTAGGGAGGCCTTGTGATAGGTGCCTTCCCACAGGAAAAGGAAAGGAATACTAATTCCTAAAAGGATCCGGCAGGCTGCCATAGGAGAGATTTATACTCCTGTTATGCTGATAAACATGGGATCTTACATCCACAGGGAGCTGTAGCTCACGAAAGCTTACGCTCAAATAAATTTGTTAGTCTCTAAGGTGCCACAAGTACTCCTTTTCTTTTTGCGAATACAGACTAACACAGCTGCTACTCTGAAACCTGTCAAAATACATCTAATGGGCAATTCAGCCGACACCTTTCCCCTGCAATACATGTTAAGTTAAAGTGGACCATCTCTCTTTCAGGCTAGTTTAATGAGACTCCAAACTATTGTGCAGCATTTTAGCTGCAGCCTATTGTCACGTCATGTGGCACCAACACTGCTAAAACCACATTCCAACACGTGCAAAATGTATCTGGAATTAGGAAAGCATGGTATCTTGATTTACAGGAAGACAAGGAAACTTTGCTTTCAGGCTGAGATCTGAATAATTGTAAAATTAATGGGAGCTGGGTGTTCAAATCCGATAGATGGCTCTGAATAATCTCAGCCTAACTAACCATTACATATATCCAAAGCTCAAAGGAAAATACCATCCATTAACAAAGTGTATACGGAGTGTCTTTCAGAAACAATTACAAGTAATAGGAGAAAACCAGTTCAAACTTCATTTCACCATTGGAAAAAGCAATTAAAAAACAACAAGGAACAAAGTTTAATCAGCTCATGGATCAGTGGAGGTAAGATACAGGATGAGCACTCACTTCAGCTAGACTCTGCCCCTATGGCTTTCAAAGTCTAGCATCAATTAGATCAAGAGAGACAAGATGGGGGAAGTGAAGGAAAGGGAAGTTGTGTAATCCTCATCTATTTCAAACATTGGCAACTACAGCAGTGGTAAAAATTTCAACCCAACTGGCACCAAAGAGAGGAAAGAGAGAACTAGCTCAATTGTTGCATTATTATTTCAGACAAATCACTGAAGTTAATCATCTTTGAGTTATTTTCTCTTGCAAGTTTCATTTCATCTAACTGTGTAGGCAACGGCTAGCAAATATAAAAGGAAACCACCAAGTTTTAAAGCCTCTGGGGAGCGGGGAGAGGGGAGGAAGCGGGGTGTGGGGGAGATAAAAACACTGCCCTATTTTCTATTATTTTATTGGATCCCGATATGTACAATTTAATTATTCACAGCATGCTAGATAAGCTGTTAATCCATTCTCAACAATGCTGGATGCATTGACTCACAAGTGCATCCAAACAGAGGGTGAATAAAAAATAAGCTAGCTACCTGCCTCAGTTTCCTTGTTACCACCACCAAGCAGGAGAAGAAACCGATGACTTGCTAACTCATTTTGTAGTTTTCCTGAATTTCTTCTCTGGCTCCTCTCAGCCAGCGTGCCTCATATGACACTTCAGGAAGAGCAATGATGGCTAATGATATGTGCTTTCCTCGCACAATGCAGTATTAGACAGATAGTGAATCTGGACCTAAAAGGTCACTCTCAAAGAGGACAGGACAAATAGTTCTAGATGTCTGAAGACAAAGTTTAAACTATTCTTACTGGTATGAACTCTCAATGAGCACATGAATGCCAGCTGCTGTAAAGACTGCAACCATCACGTTTTTCCTTGGTCTCATTCTTGGTCAGAGTTGTGCCAAATTCACACATTATTCATTTCACACCATTTGCACAAACAATTCTGCTGTTCAATGCACCTCCCTCCTCCAAACTTCGCTTTATTCGCAAGCTTGAGAAAATGGCTACTTCCAAACCAAAAATGCTCATTCTAAAATCCAAATTACATCTTCAATCAGAAAGGGGTCCTTTTTGATTGAGAAACAGGTCCATTTATGCTTTAAAAACTGCAGCTTAACAAAACTATCCACAACAATGGGTCTATTTTTGAGTTTGTAACAAAGGCAAGAATGCTTGATTAAATGTAGATTTGCATCATGAACATTTCACATCTACACTTAAGCCTCCATAGTGGTCTAGTTATAGTAATGAACTACGTATAGCAAAATTTTGTAACACACCTAGATGACTTAGAAGCCTAGGATCAGATTTTTAAAGATATCTAGGTACTTAAAGATGCAGATAGGCATCAGAGAGATACCTACTGGGATTTTCACAAGCATCTAGGCACTTCTGCACTCCTACTAGGCACTTATATTTTGCTGATTCTACAATACCGTTGACGCTCCAAGATAGCGGCGTGAATAAGGAGGTTGCCCTAACCTCAGCAGCTATTTTTAAAGTTGCATTTGAATAGTTCATTTAGTCACCATCAAAAGCGGTTCAATCAAACTTCTGGCCAGTAGGGCACCAACCTTTAAAGATTACACACTGCTAATAATTGTTGCGGGGTTATGCACATTTTCTTATAACCCTGCAATAACAGAATGTAAGTTTTCTGTGAAGCTGTTGAAATTCAAGTCACTTCACCTTCAAAACCTTCCACACAAACACACACAATGCAGAGTACACTCCAGGACTCAGAGATATCTCAGTATAGAGCTGGTTTTGTTTTTCTCCCAATCACATGCAGCTATTCTGCCTTGGAATGAAGGACACAGAAGGTGTCCTCTCTGCATACATTCTCTGTGCAGAGAAGCCTCTGTGTAAAGTTTTATGCTCTTTTTATTATATGCATGCCTCAACTAATTATTCAATCAAAGGAACTTTCAGACAAGATTATGTGAAAGCAACAGAATGTCATCAGTTCAAGAATCCTGAAGCCCAAGCAAAATTTTAGTGACATCTAGTGGTCACTAGTGTCTCACTAGAATATAATTTCCCCAAAATACCTTGCACTATTATTCAGAAATCCTGCCATCACCAAATAAATCTATTCATATAACGGGGAGTCATTTCCTAGTAATAAGCAAGAAAGACTAATGGGATATATTCTGATTTTTTCTTGTGATGAGCAACAATAAATCACTTTGTAGTTCAGGTCACATTTGGGAAGAAAAATGTCTTGCGATCATTAACTTTTGTTCAATTGATGATTTTATATAGTCAAGTTTTAAGTAATTGAACTAGTATCATTTAATTAGCTCTGAAAACCTATATGAGATCATGAATCATGACTTTCCACCTTTATGACGCTCCCTTACTAGGTTAAAAGTGTATTTCTCTTTCCGTGTGTGATCCATCTTGAATATCTAATGAGGTGCTTTTGATATTTGGATTATAGTCCATATATCATACATGCAAACTACTGTAGATGTACGGCCTCTTACTTTATATAATTGAGTTTCGTGTCTTGCTTCACTGAGCTGTTCCAAAAAGAGAAGAAAAAAACCGACTCGTGTCCATAATGGAACTGCCCTACTTGCTTCCATTTAGCAAACTCCTCCAAATCCCTCCTTTCTCGAGAGGGCCAGCATCCTGGACGAGCAACCTGGACAACTAGCCAGGGAAATAAAATAAGAGAAAGCATATTTCTTGCTGAAGGTTGGGATACAGAAAACTGCTATAATTTTAGATGTGACACATGCTGACAACAAATTTCATTATGCCCAGAGCACCAATTGACGGAAGGCCAGTACAGTCTTTCTGTGCAACAATGCTTGAAACTGCTTTATTACTTTCTAACTAGAAAAGGCATTTCAACTCAACTAATATTTTGGGGCATGTGCTTAAGGCCCAGTTTTTTAAAGCTATTGAGGTGTTGCTGTGCTCAGCATTGCAATGCTTAATTGATTTAGGATCCTAAGTTTCATTCTCAAAAGGGATGTAGGCATTTAGGAGCCTAAATCCCATTGACGGTCAATCTCTAAAGCCCTTTTCAAAATTAGATCTAGGCTCCTAAATCAGTTAGGTATTGCAATGCTAAGTGCATCAATGTCTAAATACATTTAAAAATCTGGGCCTGAATCTAAACACTATCAAACAATGCACTACACATCTCACAGGGTATGTTAAGTTCCAGTGTTTATATTATATTACCTAAACAACAATAATCAGACACAAAAGTCTTTTAAAAAGTTTTTATTCAGTTTAAGATGTGTTTCTTAAGCAGTCATTATGCTGCTATCACAGATCTTGTTTACAAGATTGGAAAATTTTTGCCAGAAAAGAAAACCACAACCAAAGGAACATCAGAATTTTTTTTTTTTGGAGGCAAGACATTGAGCAGATCATGATTCATACATGTCAAAGTGAAAACATCACCCAATATAAATGCTTCTATTACAAAAACCTCTCTTTAAACAGATTTTATAAAAAAAATAAAATTCAATGAAATGGATTTAATCTCTCTGTTCCTTTTTCAAAGTATTTTTAGAATTGTTAAAGAAACGTATGTTTCTGCAGACTATTTCTTTCAATTTAGAAAGTGTAAGGGGTTTCAATTTATACAGTAAAAAAAACACTGAAAGCAGAATTGCTTTATAAGATTGGCCACAGCTCATCTTTAGCTGAAATACTTGCGTTCAATTACCATCATAAAATGTAAAGATCATTGCTCTCAAACACATGGGATAGCCATCTTACTTATGCACAATATTTAAACAGCTAATTGGCTTAGAGCCCCATGGTCACTACAACTTGCTCAGATAGGAAAGGATGTATGACATCCATTATATATGTATCCACTTTAAAAGTATGTTTGTCATGTGGACAGCAGAAATTTCAATCAGAATAGACTTAGATTTTACACACGTATCTTACATTATTTGGTGGAAAATAAACACTCCCCAGTTCATGTTACTCTGACCTGTAGATGACATTTCTATTAGCTCCAATTGTGCAGTTCACATCAATCCTGGGGTTTTAAGAACATTTTCTTTGCTTTGCTAGGTCTCATGTTACTGTTCTCATCTTCACCCTGTAGCACACGCTGGTCTCTCTTTTTCAAGAATTTCTTCCCAATAGTTCTGACTAACGTTTCATATCTGTTAAGATATTTAAATTAAAATACAAATCACTATTCTTCATAAAATCAAAGCAAACTCGTACACAGCAAGTCATAAATCCTATCAGCTATACCAATCTGTGGTGCAACAAAGGATTGCCTATGTCACTCCTCTTACAACACAGTGTAAGAGACACAGCTACTGCCTCTATCAAGATATCAGCATAATATTAAGGGGCCAATTTTGCTTTCTGTCACACTGAATGATACAATAGAGAGCAAAAAGGTGTAGCGGAGGGTAAAAAATGGCCCCAAGTTATTTCCCCAGGAAGTAATGAAGCTACTCCATTGAACACTTTCTTCAAAATTCTTATTTAAAAATATCTTGTGCACAACACAAAAGTTTGCTCTTTTATAAACACTCTGATGAGAGTGCAGCAACACATCATCTTGGTAATTTTAACTATGCCATAAAACATAAATTACCTTCTGGCCATTTCTTCATCTGATACATCAGCCTCGGCTGTATCATCTGCTTCAATTTCTTCTTTCTTGTACCTAGAGTTCATTTGGATCATTAACTTCTGAAAATGAAATGGGAAATCAGTTTAACAGTTAACTCGTTCACAGAATTTCAATTATATAGATATTACTGATAAGAAATTCATTTTTAATATGGACAAGCAAAACTCTGGGGGTAAAGAGTCCTAACTGAAGCTACTTTCCCTTCTTTGTAGTATGAATTTAGGGCTAGATCATGGATTTATCATGAGCCATGAATAAAAGGGAGCACGCAGCCGTGCTTTGCTGGGTGAAGACAAGGGAATGAATGAACTGTGACTGGCTGCTTCCCCCTTGCTCCCCAGGTTGGTAGTGGTGGTGATTCGCACCAGTGCTATACCTGGCGGAGCTTAGTTCCTCCTCTGTTACCCCACCTGCACAGTGATTCAGATAGCTTGTGTAGGGGAGTGTCTTCGGTCCTCATGCAACCCAGCATGGCCCTGAAAGCAGCTCATGACCCAGCCCATAGAAAACTTAAAATAATGAGTTTTGTTATAATTTTCCTGCATCTTAAAATTGTTCTAATATAAACACACCTATTTTTGGTTCCTTCCTTGTTTGCGCACCAGCACGGTGCCTGGCATCTGGGACTAGGTTTTCTTAGCACTCTTTACGATTGTTGCCATTTAAGTGGTAATGCACTATCGATCGTAGTGGATAAATCTTTTAAAAAAGTTATGTAGCAGATCTGTTTTTTCATTGTCAAGTATAATCCAGTGTATATAATTCCCAGATCTTAAGGGTGGGTCAAATTTCGGAACTAAGCCACTTAAAAATGTTTATTTAGCAGGGAGAATCTGTCTGAAAGCTTTACAATAAAATGCTATTTGCATTAAAAAAATGCAAAAAAAAGCCAGTGAAAATGCCAACCCTGGTGAGACAGTAATCATAATTCCCCCTAAATCATATTAGATCTGAATTGAGCATCAGTAACTTTTCATCTTAGGCAGTTATTTAGCTGCGAGAGACAGATTAATGGCAGTCTTGTTGTTACTATTATAGCACCATAGACGTGTGTGACGTTGAACAGAAGTTAAAGACACCTCTGCTCAAAAGAGTTTTTATTTTAAAGGCATGATTCTGTAAGACCTTATTCACATGAGTAGTTTCCAGTCAACAGGGCTGACAGTTTGCAGGTTTGGGCCCTAAATTAAGCAGCAATATGATGACTAAAGATCCAGACTGGAAGAAAAGTGGTAGAGCAGTGAGATTGGGCAGTTGTTTTGCTGAGCAGTACATGGAACATGGAGGCTTTGTTCTTGGAGGGGAGGAAAATGTATAGGAATCATGAAACTATTGAGCTGTTGACATATGGGAGGGGGAGCCAGATATTTACCAGAAATAGCACTTTATTTATTTCCAAAATCTTGGCTTGAATCACAATCACATTGAATCACAATGTGGAAATACATTTTATTTAAGACAACGCCTGCAGAAAGCACTGCATTGACAGAGTACCAGCAAACAGCATGAGCTCCTCCATATCACCGGCATATATGTCTTAGTGCTAATCTGGAGCCATCTCTATCTAAGTGGAGGATGGCAATTCAGACTCCAAACTCATTCAGCTGAGATAAACAACATGGGTGCCAATGGACGTTAGTGTGTGACATGGACTTGTGTCAATCTGGGACTGGAAAGACTCATTTCATAGTGCCAGACAGATTTCATCCCTCTTGACTTGGGTAAAAGCTCCTCAGAGGTGACAGGCTCCATTTGTTCAAATGGATCAAACATATACAACACAAGTGAATATACCACTTTTAATCCACAGATTTTTTTTTTAAAAATTATTAGGACCTCTTTTCACAGCTGGATAAATCAGGCAGAGAGAAGTAAAGAGACTCGGACCTAGGTCACAGAGCAAATGAAAGGCAGAAGCAGGAACAAGTCTCTTAAGTACCAATCCAGTACCTAGGCTCTTACTGAGGCAGTGTGATCAAAAGTAAATACTCCCCATAATGTTGTATTTTCAGTACAGAATTGCAAACATTTAATAAAATCATTCAATCTTCTTTGCCTGCATTTTAATTTATTTTCAAATTCCTGCAATCAAACAGCTCTACTTCTAAAGGTTGAAAACAACAAGTGCAAGCACAGAGAGAGCATATTAACACATGAATTAATGACTGAGTATCAACAACCCAGTTAGAAGAGCTGCTGATTTTGCTGACCAGCAATGGGAATGTTGAATAGGAGGAAGAAGGGAAGCTGAGTTGGAAATTACCATTTTCATCCTACCTAGCGGAGCTCAAATTAGAAGCATGAAGATTGGACACATTTAGGCAATAATCCACTTTGTGCTATAAACTATATAAAGCTCAATTGACTCTCACTGAAGTCAACCAAAAGACACTTCTTGATTTCAATGGAAGCCACGTTGAGACTTAACTCCAATTTATAGTTTTTCTTAGTTACTACCTGGTGCGGTGCGTTGGTGCCACCCCCTCTGGCCAACTGTAGCCCAGCCCCCAGTGGGGCTGTCTGTCTATTCATGGTGCCCAGGGGTCTGAAAACCCTTTCTTCACTCCCCACCCACTCCACCGGGTTCCAACTCAGGGCCCTCAAGTTAGGTAAGCAGGATCAGAGTTCTTCAACTCTGACAATGCCCTAAGCTTCTTCCTACCTTCCCCTGGATCTCTGCAGGTTCTCCAGCCTATTGGTCCGTTCATCCCCATCTGCTTCCCAGCCCTTTTTACCCTCCTAGCTGCTGTGAGGCTTCCAATCAGCAGTGGCTGGCAGTGCCTGTATTAACCCTTTGGTTGCTGGTCCAGTGTGGGGTACATACACTCCATGACCCTAACAGAGTAGAACATTTGACAGTACCTCAACTTCTGGATTGAACCCTTTAAAGGACATTCTGCCATAAAGTAGGTCTTCACATGGCATAAAGCTTCTCTCTTCTATTATAAAACTCCTGCACAATAAACAAAGCCAAGTATTTGTCTGAACAGCATGTCTTAACATAGTCACAAGAACCAAAAGCAATAAAAAGCAAAAACCAAAAAAATGAAGTGTCTTAGGCCAGGTCTAGGTCTGAAAAAGTTTGCTGGTATAAGAAATGTTGCTCTCCTCCCACAAAAAAACCCAGCCAGACCCAAAAAACCCACCCAAACAAAAAAAAAAAAACCCACCACAAATAAAAACCCTCAAAAAACCAAACACACAAACCCTCACACTCCTAGGTGACATTTCTATACCAGCAAATTTCTAGTGTAGAGCTGGCCCTAGTAGAGACTGAGAGGAAATAAAACCATGTGGTTCTCTCTTCAAAGATTGTTTTCTTTTCTCTTTTAATGAAAAAACCAAGAGACAAAAAGAAGTCTTCCCCCAGGAATTATCACATACATGTACTACAGAAGTGTTCCACCTTCTCATCCCCACCCTGCACATGTAAAATACTGAATATCAGTAACTTTAATCACATGTAATTAATTCTCTGAACTCCAAACGTTAAGAAGAGACTCCCTCTTGTTAAAAAAATTCCCTCTTTTAAAGGACAAAATAAACTATTTTTAAAATAGTTTTTTTTTTTTTTTTACTGTTTATAGCACCTCTTCAGAAGGCAGGAATGGAAGTTTGTGCCCTTACTAGAAGAGGTTTTCCTTATTGTTGCATCTCCATTATGAATTCTGCAACTGGATATTCATGGATTGACCCTGTGCCTGAATGAAACATTAATGAAATCAGTGAAGCTGCATGAAGGAGCCAGATTCTCTCTCATGGACTTGATTGCAAGATTGGGGCCTAATTTATAAGTTTTCAGCCATTTTTTTTTTTTAAAAAAAGCAAAAGCAGCATTAAATCACCTGGTCACTAAAAAGAAAATAATTACATGGATACTAGGAAAACATACAGATGGAAAAAAAAAGGGGGAGGGGGGAAGTAGGTCAAACTCTGGATTTATAAACCTTGAGAGTGGTTCCTTAGAATAAAATGCTGCATAAGTATGCTACACCTACCAATCTGCCTCTTTTCCTAATGTCTACTGGCGACTAAGAGTTATTATTATTCTTGAGGTATTTCTTGGACAGAAAAGGATTAATAGACAACACTTTGTTTTGCCTCCCAAACAGTCCAGATATAAGTAATGGAAAAATATGACAAACTTACTCCTTTTCTTTGAGTTCTGGTAAATCCAGATACCAGTGCTCTTCACTGATTATCTTCTTTTCCTCCTCCTCTAGTTGTTTTTTGGTTTCTGAATCCAATCCTCTTTGCATGAACTGAAAGAAACGCACACAAAGATTTTTCTGCATGAAGTGTCTTTTCCCCATATGTGAGTTACAACTATTTAATAGGTTGCCTGACATTTATTGTTCATGCAATATTTCATGAAAAAAGTTAAGAAGTTTTGCCTGACTCTTTTAAAAGTCAGCTCAAAGTTAGGGCAATTGCCAATGTACAGACAGAAACAATGGCAATATTAAAATTCAGTTGCATCACCACTTACATACCCAGGTGACCAGCACTCTAGTAACACTGGAGATAGTTTTGACTTCCTTGGCTTATTACCATCCTGCAATTCCTGGGGGTCTGGCAAAGGACTGAGGAAAATTTAACTATTTCAAAGCTGTGGCTGCATACCAGATGCCAAATGGTTACACTCCACCACATAAAGCGGTCAGGGGACAAACTGGACCTGGCTTAGGCCAGGTTAGCATTTGTTTTTTTCCAGTATTCTTTTGAGGGCGCCCCCTTGTCCTCCAGATTCTCAGATTTCATTTAAAAAAATAAAAGTTCGACTCTAGCCCCCAAGGCTGCAAAGAGAGCCCTTATAGCAAACGAATGTTAGGCCTGGTTTTCACTTAAAAATTAGGCTATGTCTACACTTAAACCACTACAGCAGCACAGCTGCATCTGCGCTGCTAGAGTGCTTCAGCATAGCCACTCATTACAGTGATAGTAGGGGTTTTCCTGCCGCTGTAATTAATCTACCTCCCCAGAAGCAGTAGTTAGGTTGATGGAAGAATTTTTCCATTGACTTAGTGCTGTCTGCCCTAGGGATTAGGTTGGTTTACCTACATTGCTCACGAGTGTGGATTTTTCACATCCACGAGAGACATAAATCGGTCAACCTAACTTTTTTAGTGTAGACCTAGCTACATTGTTAAGGGGTGAGGAAAATTCACACTGCTGAGTGCTATGGTTAAGCTGACCTCCCCCCCAGTGTAGATGCCACTCAGAGAGGTGGATTAACTACAGCAATGGGAAAACTGAAGGAAGTGTCTACACTATGGCCGTAGTGTAGATATGGAGTAATGCAATGATGTTTGAGGAGTTCACAGAGAGACTGGAACAACAGCTTGAAGAAGTGTGAGCTGCCCATTTCATCTCCATGGGGTGTTAACTCAAGTGAGTTCAATTAAAAGTCAATGTTAACAATTTCAGCGACCAAACCATGACCGAACGTTGAAGGTTCACTTTCTCCACAACGAGAAAAGCTATAAACATTTCTTTTTAAAATTAATGTTCACGATTGGAGCTGGGGCCTCAGGCCTGGTCTACAGACAACTTTTGTACCAGTATAAATATGTCTGTTAGGGGATGTGATTTTTTACCCACAGTAATACTGATAAAACCCCTAGTGTAGATGTAATTCTACTGCTATAGCTTATTCCCCTTCCCGAATGGGAATGTTATACTGGTATAAGAACATTTATACCAGTATAATTAGGGCTCTACCAAATTCACAGTCCTTTTTCGTCAATTTCCCAGTCATAGGATTTTAAAAATAGTCAATTTCACGGTTTCAGATGTTTACATCTGAAATTTCATGTGTTGTAACTATGTGGGTCCCAACCTGAAAGAGTGTCGTGGGGGGTCACAAACTACTGTGTGCCCGTGTGGGGGAAAGAACACAGGACATATGAGGGTCATCACTTTTGTGGGGGGGACAGGGCTGGCCAGGGCCCCATGGTCCCTGCCCGCCATCCAATGGCCCCTTTAAATCTTGAGCATTGGGCTTGGAGCTGGGGAGCGGCAGGGCTGGGGGCGCCCCATCCAGCAGCTCATACTGTGCGCTGGGCTCCTGCTGCTAGTCCCTGGAGCACCAGGGGAAGAGATACTCCCAGGGCTGGGTCAGACCTACCTCCAGAACCTCCCCTGGCCGCAGTAGGGGAGGGGCGGGGGCCGCTGCAGGGAAAGAGGAAGTCCCATCCCTCCCCAGCCCAGAGGGCACTAGCAGCTGGAGCCCAGTGCATGGTAGGAGCCCCTGGCTGGTGCACCCCTGGGCCTGCCCCTCCCCTACAATAGCCAGATATCACAGGGGAGATCAGATTTCATGGTCTGTGATGCATTTTTCATGGCCATGAATTTGGTAGAGCCCTAAGTATAATTGCATTCATAGTGGGCGGGGGGAAGGCAGTTGGAGGAGAGGCAGGGGAGAGAGGTGTACCTCTAACTGCACTGGTAAAGCAGTACAACCTGTATTTAGACAAGCCCTTAGGCACATCCCTATCACACTTACATCTTTATCTGGCATTAGCCATGAGTACATCCAAACCTTACCAGAGAAGATGCTAGCAAAGCACAGCAGAGCATGCATGACCCTATTTTAAACATCTGCACAATCTACTGTGACAAATCATTTTGGTGTCCCAAGTAGACAGAGATTGGCTTGTGGATGGAGATTGGAATGTGCCACTACTTCCCCACCCCCAAACAAACATATTTATAAATGGACAATCAAATTAAAAGTTGGTTTATCATTTTTCAGGCTATGCAAAACATTAAGTGTATTATTTTAATTATTTAATTTATATATTAATTCAATAGCACAGTCTGAAAAGTGATAAGCCACCTTAATTTCTCATGTTCCATTTTTACTGCTATATGTACCCAACTCTGTGTGAGTTTCTTAACTAAAGAAAACAGAGTTTTGTTTTCTGAAAGAATTCAAAAACATGTCAAAGCCTTACATTTAAAATTACAGTATCTGGATTTTCTCATAAGTGAGTAAAATGAGAGCGTCTATGTGGAAAAACATGTTAATCAAGGAAACTGGTTAGCTAGACTTAAGTCTCAATGGGAGAAGTTTTATTATAAGCACCCAATCAATGTTCATTTTTATTGATTATGTACCTAAAAACAAATGATCTAGGAGATCTCTTGGATACAACTATCTGGTTACTTACATTTAAAATGATAAAAAAAATACAGATTGCAATAATTGCAAAGCACGTAAAACATGCCGAGTGTTTCTTTGTGTCAAAGTTTAGTCTCCATAGAAACACAGATGTAAGCCTTTGGTGAGCAGAGACTTGTAATTGTGCTAATTATTCTGCTACCTTTATGGAAAGTGAACTCTGCTACATCTGAGGACTGAACTGAGACTGTAAAACTCGTTTCACTTAGTACTTTGAAGGACTATGGCCCCAAATACCAAGCTAAAAAAAGGAATGGCACAACTAAAATGTAGCAAACAAGGCATGAAGTCTCTGCTATATTAAGTTATAAATATTTAATGAATATTTATGTTTTTAAAAAATTAATGGCAATTCAGCTTCTGTGTTGTTCGGCAGAAACAGAGAGAGCATCAATCATGCCAGTGTGTACTCTACTGAATTATGTGTTGCATTACACGACATGAACCAGAGTCCATTAGCCACTGAGCTGAGACTAATTTCACTTTGGACTTGATGCTAGATTCACAATTCCAAGGGCGATGGCTAGGTCAGTACTTTATTAATATCCCTCTCTCATGCTACTACATTTATGAGTTGTTAAAAGAGTGTGGGGGGGGGGGGAAAGAGGGAGGGACAATGGTCTAAGTTAACACCGTTATAGGATATTAAGCCAGAACTGGCCAGAAAAATCAGTGCACAACAAAATCCAAGGCTAGGAAATATTTCGAGTCAAGGCAGCTCAACCAAATGTGGCAAGCAAAGGGAATATTTTAAATTAAAGATATAAAGAAAAAGAGTTTGAACACTTATGTTCATGATAAAGAGGCCAGCACAGATAGCTCCTGGGAAGAAAAGAATTTTCAAATCGTTTCCAGCAAAGAAATCCCAGTTTTGCTTATGCAAGATTTTGCTGAAATAAGGAAGGTAGTTCACAGTATGTTTCTGGATCAAAACAACAGGCACCCTATAGTTCATAAAACCACTGGACACTTCTTATGTATCAGCTTCCCCACTGCCAAGGTCCCCACTAGTTCAGCACTCCCCACTAGTTCAGCTTCCCCACTGCCAAGGTCATCTCCCCTGCTACCCTAAAGAGGCATTCTTCCCCATCCGCACCACCCCTGGGAATGGTCTCCTTTCTGTGACTCCCCAATTCTTTCACAGTGGGGAGCAATGCTAAAGTACCCTGGAAAATGTGTGTGTGTGTGTGGGGAGGGGCATTATCATAATGAGGGAGCAGTAGTTTTGGTGGAACAGAGTATAATGTGTATTCTTCAAAAACCTAGGTAAATTTAAAACAAAATGTTTTTCTGGGTCTGTGACCCCTCGTGACCACCCTCCCCCTCAAATACGTCTCCCCCACACGTCTCATGCCGTGTGCAGAATCCTCCCAGATCTCTTCCCATGAGCTCAAATCCCAGTGCAACCTGCCCTTCCTCCCCTCCAAGCCTCCTAAATACCTACCCCCCCGCCGCCCTACATGTCAGGCCTTTACCTTACAGCCCCACAATCCACCCAGGGGTCACCAACCCCAAACCTTGCTCCCTAAGCCGACAGTCCCAGCTCTGCCACCAGGGTAGGCTCCCCCAATCACCTCTCCACCTGGGAACCCCTTCCCCATCCCTCCCTAGGGGGGCAGCTTATCCCTCAGCCCCCCCCCACCTGATTTCAACTCCCCTCACTCCCTCTCCCAGAGCCCCCAACTCTCCCCATTCCCCACTGCCCCCAAACCCTCCCCAGGGGGCATCTTGCTCCATACACCCCCTGTCACCCGACCCCAACCCCCCTCACTCTCTGCCTCACCCCCCATCCTCTCCCCATCCCGCCCCCCACGCTCTTCCCCAGGGCCCCCATCCCTCCCCAAGGGACACTCCTTCTCCCAGAGCCCCCAGCTCTCCCCATTCCCCACTGCCCCCAAACCCTCCCCAGGGGGCATCTTGCTCCATACACCCCCCGTCACCCGACCCCAACCCCCCTCACTCTCTGCCTCACCCCCCATCCTCTCCCCATCCCGCCCCCCACGCTCTTCCCCCCCCCCCCCCCCCCCTCCTTCTCCCGACCCCCACTCTCCCCATTCCCCACTCCCCCAAACCCTCCCCAGGGCATCTTTCCATCCCCCCGTCACCCACCCCAACCCCCCTCCTCTCTCCTCACCCCCCATCCTCTCCCCATCCCCCCCCCACCTCTTCCCCCCCCCACCCCTCCCCAGGACACTCCTTCTCCCAGGCCCCCACTCTCCCCATTCCCCACTCCCCCAAACCCTCCCCAGGGGCATCTTCCATACACCCCCCGTCACCCGACCCCAACCCCCCTCACTCTCTGCCTCACCCCCCATCCCTCTCCCCATCCCGCCCCCCACCTCTTCCCCAGGGCCCCCACCCCTCCCCAAGGACACTCCTTCTCCCAGAGCCCCCAGCTCTCCCCATTCCCCACTGCCCCCAAACCCTCCCCAGGGGGCATCTTGCTCCATACACCCCCCTCACCCGACCCCAACCCCCCACACTCTCTCCTCACCCCCCATCCCGCCCCCCACGCTCTTCCCCAGGGCCCCCATCCCCCGGGGTTGGCTGCCCCACACGCCACCTAACATCCCTCACTCGGATCAGCCCCGCAACCCGCCCCTCCGCCCGGCCTGCCCCTGCCCGGGCTCCCAACGGGGGCCCCCCCGCCCCGCGGCCTGCTGCTCCCCCTCCCCGCGCCGGGAGCCGCCGCCTCTCACCTTCATGCGCAGCAGGTTCTTGGACAGCTTGGTCTTCACCTCCCCGGCCATTGCGGTGCCGGGCCTGGGCCGCGGACGGGCCCCGCTCGATCCCCGCCCTCCCCTGCTGCTGCAGCCGCCTCCTGAGGCCGCGCACTGGCCGCCACGCGCACAGGCCGGGAGCCGGCGGGGTGGGCAGGGCCAGATTTCCGCCCAGGGGCCTCTGCGGCCGGGCTGGAGCGGGCGGTGAAGCCGCCGCGCAATTGCGATGCGACCGGCTCGGCCCAGCCCGCCTCACGGGCCTGGGGCGGCTTCAAGCGGCGCTGGGGTGTTTTACAGCGGAACGGGGCACCCCCCGAGCCTGGCGTCTGCACGGGGACAGGGAGTGGGGCTCAGACAGAATGGGGAGACCCCCCCCGAGCCTGGCTCTCATCGGAAGGGGTAGGGAGAGGGGCTCAGATCCCACCTGTAGCAAACTCGCCTGAGCCTGACTCACATGGGGGGACAGGGATGGGGGTCAGACCACCACAGATGGGCAAGGGTCCCCCAGAGCCCGGCATAGATATGGGGGAAGCTGGGAGCAGAATTCAGGCACCATGCGGGGGGGGGGGGGAGGAGACCCCCTAGATCCTAGCTCACATAAGGAACAGGGATAGGGTTGCCAATTTTGGTTGGATGTATTCCTGGAGGTTTCATCCCATGACATAATCTTTAATTCCTGGAGGCTCCAGGGCAATCCTGGAGGGTTGGGCTCAGATCCCCCACAACAGCAACTCTACCAAACCTGGCTCATGTGAGGGGCGCACAGAGATGGTATGTGTGTGGGGGCTCCTTAAAGCCTGGCGCACACATGGGCAGGGGCATGGAGAGGCTTACACACCTTGGGAACAGGGACCCACAGATCCCAGGTCACAAAGGGGAGTCATGGAGAGGGGCTCAGACCCTCCCAGATAGGTAAGTCCCTGCCAGAACCTGGCTCACATGAAGGGGGAAGGGAAGGTGGGGGTCACATAGCTGTCGCTGGGGGGGGGGGGGGGCTATAAAGTGTGACACACATATGGCTGGGGAATGTGAGTCTGACAGGTGCCCCTGCCCCCTATTCTTCCCCAGTCCTCCTGTCACTCACCCCCATTTCTTCTTTCCTCTTGTTCCACCCTCCCCTCCTACATCCCTTAGTCTCCCTCCTTTCTCCATCCCCTGATCTCCCAGTTCCTTTCCTTCTATTCCCACCTCCCCTCCCAGTGAGCATTTGCTTATGTAGTATATTTTCTTTTCAAAACACAGTTTTAGCACCTTCTCAATATTCTGCTGCACTCAGAACAAGAATCCCCATTTGACAGAGGCATATTGGAACAATATTCCTGTTTCGTTTTTTAACTTGAGATTTCTGCTCGGAGCTGGATTCAAACCTCACAGTACCTGGGATTCTATTCAGATTTAAGAGGAACAGCCGTGTTAGTCTGTATTCGCAAAAAGAAAAGGAGTACTTGTGGCACCTTAGAGACTAACCAATTTATTTGAGCATGAGCTTTCGTGAGCTACAGCTCACTTCATATACATCTGATGAAGTGAGCTGTAGCTCACGAAAGCTCATGCTCAAATAAATTGGTTAGTCTCTAAGGTGCCACAAGTACTCCTTTTCTTTATTCAGATTTAATAATTGTTACAGCCCCTCAGAGTAACCCAAGTTCTAGGGGTGGTAATTTCTCAGATAGTTAGCCTGTCTCTCTGCATATGCTCAGTGTACTCCATTAGGATTGCAAATGGACCTGCAAATCATAGCGTGCCTAGCTGAAGAAGCAAATTCTTTTTCAAAGAACATTTTTGTTTATCCTTCCCTCCGCTCCTCCCCTATGGTCCCTTAAGGGCCCCCACTCCAGGCTGCTGGCTCGTCAGCCATCATCTCTCTTGGGTAGAGACTCGCATCTCTCTCCCTCGTGACTGGGCTTTTTTTCTGGGCTGCACAGATCCCTGCCTACACTATGTTATTCCCAGCAAGCCAAACGGCTTAACCAGGCCAACGTTTGTGCTTCGCTTTCAATTTGAAAGTTATGAACGATGTAATTGCCAGCAGTTATAAGTTACCGCACAGATTTTTAGAAGTAAGTATATTTATTCTTAAGGTGAAAGCATTACATAGAAAACATATTAAAAACAATAAGAGTTCCTACATGCATGCAAAACCTTACCAGAAGTAACCCATCAGTCTTATGAGGTCTCAGTAGGCCAATACCTTCCAGTACCCCCCAGGAACGATTGGGGCCCCCTGTGGACAGAGGGTCCTGTCCATTTGCTGGATCAGAAAGGTCATGTATCAGTTTAAACCCAGGCTATTTATCTAAACTTCTTTCTTTGTCTGTTAGTCTCTGGGGAATCCAGTTTGAACTGGTATACCTGAGCCTTTCCAGATAGTGGTACTTCTCTGGAGGTGTTACAACCTGAATGAATTTGCCTAAGCACTCCTCCTTCCCCTCCACCCCACACGTGGCCAGCCAGAACGTCAGTCTTTGCAGTCTCCTAAGCACAAGGATAGTTCCTTGCACCCCTTGTGGGGCAGGGAGGTTTCAGGACCATGACCGAGCCCAATGGGGAGCTCCAGGACAGTTGTGCCATCCCAGAGCTCCCACTGTGTTGCGGCCTCTCCACACCACCATCCACTGCTTTACCTAACTGAGCCCCAGCTGGTGTAAGTAGTTGTATAATGATTTACACCAAATGAAGATCTGGCCCAGTATGTTCAAGTCTGAAGCGCTCTGTTTTGTAGTCAATACAGCATGGTAGATGTTATGTTTATTTAGAGAGGCAGAGATTGTAAAAAGGGTGCCTCAACATATGATCTACTTGGGCCATAAAAAAGCATCAAAGAAATGTTTTTAGATTGCATCTCTGAGCATCTATACCCCTCAATTGGATGGTGAGGAGGCTAGACAGCTGTCAGACATATTTTGGGTAAGATCATGCTTGGGTATTACACTGATTAAACATTCCATTGATTTCAGTGGAGATCTTCACAAGTTACACTTGTGTCAAGGAGAGCAGAATCTGGCCCTAGCTCTTCAACCTCTGATGATATGAGGTTAGTCTAAATGAAAGAATTAAAAAAAGTGGTTCTAGTGATGGGAGGTAGGAGGGTCATTCTGAATGACCTTTCACCCCAATTCTGACAGCTAAAATTGCAACTCTGCTTTCAACCTACAAATGCATTTATTTTTTCCAAAAGAGAATATCTCACTGAAATAGCACATGGGAGAACAAAACTTAAATCATCAAAGATTCTGCATTAAACGGACAGATCAAAGATGTTATTTCCTAGGAGACAGAGGGTCCTTTTCTTCAGTGAATATCAAAGTTAAATCAAAGTTTTAATTAACATTATTTAAAGAGTAGTTTCTCTTTAAATAATGTGAAATAGTTCTTAAATGATCTTTGTGAACTGATTTCATGCTAAGTGGGTTCCAGTTTTAGATAGTGCAAAGGTTACCTACCTGCTAATATTATTTTTCCCCTTTAATAAGTGCATTTATACTTCCAGAATGATTGTAATTCTAGCAGACTATACCTATTTCAAGCATTGTACTGGCCTTTGAATTGACTAGGATTCCTTTAGAACTACCTTTGGATTCTGAGTTGCCTTTTAAAAACCTCTGAATATTTTAAACTGATTATTTCTGTAAAAACAAGCCCCTTAAAGTGTGGCAGCTAGGTCATTAATTTGTGCCAAAATCCTCAACTATATTGTAATTAGGGATAATACATATGTGCCATGACTCATCAGGAGCTAAGCTCCTTGTGCAGCAAGCCTCTTGCTAGCCATATAATAGTTAATTGAAATTCAATACAAAATGACCACATGGGCTTTTAAACTCCACAACAAATAAATAGTTTGTCCTATGGTATAACTGAAGATGTAGTCAGTTTGTTAAGCCCAGTTCTCTGTTCAGAACAAGGACCCTCCACTACTGTCCCAACGTCACCTAGCACTCCCCTTAAGAAGATGTAAGCAAGCTTTTTTTATTTCACCTACTGGATCCTGATTGCCTACTGCCTTCTCTTGGCCTTTCTAGCCACTGGATGTCTAAAACTTGTTAGTTCTGCTGGTTCCAGAGCCTGAGTGGCCTTTTTAGGCAGTACTCAGAGGTCTAAACTCACTGCCCCTCTTTCCCAGTGATACTTTTCCTTTGGGCTGGTGATGCCTCCAGCAAGGAGTAGGGCTAGTACACTCCATCACAATGTGTCTAAAAACAAGCAAATGAGACAGAGGTAGGTGTCGGTGGTAAGTTTGAAAACTGTAAAATGTTGTAGTGGCCTGTGGGTTGCATACTACTGTCCTCCACTGAATGCAATACAACTACTTAGTTGTGTATCCTAAGCCCTGTACAGAAATAGCAGCTAAATGAGTTTTCTTTTAGCTTTAGGGGTAGAGTCCTGTGTTTTGAAGGGGAAAGAGCTGATCTCTATCTCAGATACTGCCATGACATTCTGAGCAGATATAGCATTCTAACAACTCTGAAGGTCCTAGGTGGCCAGAGATGTTAAAAAATCATTAGCCTTTGATGCATGCATGTGTAGTGTAATCCACTGGTCAGTATGCAATTTTCTTTGTAAAAATCCAGAGTATATAGGTCTGTTACAGCTCTTTGTTTGAGTGGTTAGCTTGAACTACATTAACTCATGCTTTTAGTTCGTGAAGTCCCCAGTTCAAACCCTGGTGTTGGCTGAGATGGCAGTTTTCACACATGTACATCTGATTATCTTACACCGAGCTCCTGTGTTCCTTTGTGCACTCCAAACTCCTGTGATTGCAGATGGGAGTTTGGGGTGCACACTGAATGCAGCACTAAGTCCCATATAAGAGTTAAACTGGAAACATTCTGGGGGCAATAGACTCGCATGTCCAGTGTCGTGTTCCAGTTGATTATGTGGAATCTGTGTTTCCCTCTGAATAGATTTTCATAACCTTGCACCTCAAAAGATAGAATGAAGAGTCATGAATTTAGAATGCATCTTGGAACAAAATAAGGGAAAGTGTCTCAAAATGACAAAGAGATGTTTTATCTGAGGAAACATCTGTTTTCAGTCTGAGAAACGACAGTTTCTCTAAAGTGTTTGGCAGCCCAAACGGCAGGGAGGCTATTTATGTAATTCCTTTCTGCTTACGGATAGCAACTGCCTCATAATAGCCGCTCGGCTCCTTAATTTCAACCCCGCTCCTACACTGGAACTGCTCTAGATGTCTGTTATTTCCTTGGTATGTAAGAAAACCTG